CATGACACAAAAAAGGTTAAGATCCTCTGGTCTAGGAAAACTCCATCTATATCACTTTCTGATCTACTCATCTAGTAACTCTAAATAAAAAGGAAATAAGGTTCATTTAATCATGAACTGCTCTTGTCGAAGCTATGTTAGCCCTTACAGAACATCTAGAAAAAGAAATGATCATATACAATCCCTTTCATAACCATTCCTAGAATATTTCCAAGAATTGAAGTCATATTCACTACTCTATGGTTTGTAAAACTCCACTCTTTCCTATTTTTTGAAAAATGGGACTATTTTCCTTCTCCAGTTCTGTAGCCTTCCTGTCCCTTTTGTTCAGCAAAGGAAGTGTTATCAGTGGATCAGTAATCTTTTCTGCCAGTTCTTACAGTGCCCCTAGATTGTAGTTCTCAGGCTAGTGACTTAAATTTATCTAGGTTAGTTAAATGTTCTTTTACTTCCTACTTGAGTTTTAACTCAATTGTTTTGTTTTTGTTCTTTCCGATCCAAAGATGATTCTTCTTTCTAAGAAAAGAGAGCAAAGTAAGAGCTGGGAAGTTCTGCATTCTCTTTGTTGCCTATCATTACTGGCCCATTTACTCCACAGAAGTTGAATCCCTTCTTCTATCCTTCTCTTTTCCCCAACTTAAAAAAAAAAACCAACCCAAAAAACAAAACATCTTCCTACCGTCATGAGTATTCATTAACAATTTCAGCTCATTCTGAATGTTAGTATTTCTGATACTCTTTTTATAGGAGCATGCCACATTTCTGTGTTCATTCTTCATTATCTACTCTTCTTTTTATGTCTTAATATACATATATATATGTTTATATATATACATGTGTGTATGTATGCATGTATGTACACATACACATATTGATTGGTAAGTTCTCTATGTATTCACACTAATTTCTTTAGATAACTATCACTTTTCCACATCAGAATTTTTTTTTCTTTGTTATGCCTTCAGGTTTCCTTCCCGAAAACTTCCTGTTCCTTCTAGGCTGATTTTCCCTGTAGAAATCAGTCTGTGGAACTCTACCTATTCTTTCTCTGAACTCCCTGAAATCTACTCTCCTAAAATCCAGGGTAGATGTCCAGTCAACTATGCCTGGATTTCATCAACTTTTAAATTCTAAGGAGGAGTCAACACTTTCCCAAAGTTCTCATCATTTTTACTTCAGCAGCCAATTCTTCTGGGTTGTCTAGGATCAGTTCCAAAAGAGCAGTTCCTTCTGTTGCTTACTCCCTCATCTATAGGATAAAATCATCATTAGGACAAATTAAATATTAGCTGCTCTGCTTTTGTCAGGAAAGCATGAGAGCAGATGTCTGGATGATGGAAGCAAGGCTAGTGATCTGTTTCCCAAACTCATCTATCTGCTCTTTCTGTCCCAGGTGGTCTAAGGACTACCAGTATTGTCTATACTGACAATAAAATTTGTGTTTGAGAGAGAAAGAAAGAGAGAGAGAAGGAGAGAGAGAGAGAGAGAGAAAGAGAGAGAGAGAGAGAAAGAGAGAGAGAGACAGAGATAGAGAGAGAGATTGAGATTATATAATCAAGGGAAGAAAGCTTCCTCAGAAATCAATCACTTGAGCAGAATTTCCTAAAATACAGTGCTATTCTAATCTCTCTTTCAACCCCTTGCTCCCTCCACCCTTTTGCCTATACTTCTCTTTTTGATAAGGTCTATCATTCTAGAGCAATATTTAGGTCACTGGTCCCATCAAACCAAGTCTTAGTGAATCTCACTGGGTCAAATTTACCTCCATGTCTTGAAATCTCTAGTTTACCTTGCTTGTTACCCTTATGTTGTACATTTCTGCATTAACATCTGAAGCCATGGATTTTATTGCTAGTTGCTTTTTTGGAATTTGTTGTCTGTGAGTTTCTGGGTTTCTCCATTGTTATTCTTGTTCCTACACTATAACTACTTTCTATGGTACCTAACTTTATAGATACACAAAAGTTGCTCCTGTTCTCTCATCTTCTCTTCCAATTTAAAGCCCTTTCAATTAGATATGCAAGAGTCGAGGCAAATACACAATCCTTGTTAGGACTCCATCCCTGGCCAAGCACTCATTTTCTATATGGGTTTCCAGAAATCCAAGATCATTCTCAGAAACTGTCTCTTGTGAAGATCTTTTCTTCAACTGACCAGAATGATGACAAGATCTCCTATTCGCCTAAAATTTCCAGTTTCTTACCCAAGACATCACAGCTCTTAGGAATACTTTTTAGATGCCTTCTAGCAGTATCATTTGTGTCCATATCAGTCACCAGGAGAGAAAAGATGTCTTCAGAATCCAGGCAGCCAAACTCTTCATACTTTACAGAGGATGAAAGAAAAACTGAGGGAAATTAAGTGATTTGCCTGGAGTTACACAGGCAGTAAAAGCATAAGAACCAAGATTTGAATTCAGGTCCTGAGACTTCAGAGTCAGTGTTCTTTCCACTTTACTATGCTACCTCTCTAGTAGAAACATGGGGGGAAAAAAGAGGAATGGATTTATATTGAAAAGTTTCTGCTAAGTTGAAATTAGAAGATTCATGTTGTCTATTGTTTTTGCATCTCTATGGTGACTATCTACACATAAAGAAACACGACTCTTGCTGAAAAGTTATGTTCACACAGTAGTCAATGACTATAGTAATCTATTATTTGACAAACCCAAAGATCCAGCTTCTGGGATAAGAACCCACTCTTTGAAAAAAACTGCTGGGAAAACTGGAAAAAGAGTATGGCAGAAAATAGGCACAGACCCAAATCTCACACTCTACCAAAATAAAGTCAAAATGGGTTCATGATTTAGATATAAAGGCTGATACTATAAGAAAACTGGGAGAACAAGGAACAGTTTACCTACCAGATCTATGGAGAACAGAAGAATTCATGACCAAACAGGAGATAGGAACATTATGAAAAGCAACATCGATAACTGTGATTACATGAAATTGAAAAGTTTTTGCACAAAGCCAATGTAACTAAGATTAGAAGAAAGGTAGAAAATTGTGAAAGAATTTTTACAACCAGTGTCTCTGATAAGGGCCTCATTTCTCAAATATATAGAGAATTAAGTTAAATTTATAAGAATACAAGTCTTTCCCCAGTTGATAAACGGTCAAAGGATATGAACAGGCAGTTCTCAGATGAAGAAATTAAAGCCATCTATAGTCACATGAAAAAATGCTCTAAATCATTATTGATTAGAGAAATGCAAATCAAAACAACTCTGAAGTACCACATCATACCTATCAGATTGGCCAACATGACAAAACAGGAAAATGATAAATGTTGGAGAAGATAAATGTTGGGAAAATTAGAACACTAATGCATTGTTGGTGGAATTGTGAAATGATCCAGCCATTTTGGAGCACAATTTGGAACTATGCCCAAAGGGCCATAAAAATGTGCATACCCTTTGACCCAGCAATAGCACTTCTAGGGCTACATCCCAAAGAGATCAAACAAATGGGAAAAGGACCCACATGTACAAAAATATTCATAGCAGCTCTTTTTGCGGTGGCAAAGAATTGCAAATTGAGAGGATGCCCATCAATTGGGGAATGGCTGAGCAAGCTGTGGTATATGAATGTAATGGAATACTACTGCGCTATAAGAAATGACAAACAGGCTGACTTCAGAAAAAGCTGGAAAGACTTGTACGGTCTGATGCCGAGTGAAGTGATCAAAAGCAAGAGAACTTTTTTCACAATAACAGCCACGTTGTGCAATGACTAAAACTGATTAACTTAACTCTTCTCAGAAATACAAGGATCTAAGACATCTCCAGAGGCCTCAGGATGGAAAATGCTGTCCACATCCAAAGAAAGTACTATGGAAGTTGAATCGCTATCTTATTTTTTTTTCCCTTTTCTGCTGAGTTTTGTTTCCTCTGATGGTTCCTCCTATTGGTTTTAATTTTTACTTACAACTTCACTAATGTGAAAACATGTTTAATGGGTATGTAAATGTATATAGCCTGTATCAGATTGTGTGCCATCTTGGGAAGGGTGGTGGGGGAGGAAGGGGGAGAAAAATTTTAAACTGAAAAGCATATGGAAGTGATTGTTGACATATCAAAATAAATTAATAAAATAAATTTTAAAAAAGTTATGTTCACTGTGTATTGTGTATCTTTCGATAAAAAAATCATCAAAAAAAGTCCATCTAATTGGCTAGGTACTTTGAACAAATTAATGGAGTTACTACTGTTACTTATTATATATATATACACACATTATATTGGTTATAATTTATAATTAATCTAATCTCCAGGCCATATGCAGGAATTTTTCTATAATAATGAAATATATCCAATCACACTGCTCTCAGCAAACATATTATTTTTAATAACAAATATTATTTTAATTCATGAAAATATTTACATTTTGTGAGTAAAAAGGGATTTGTATAAATAAGTAAAACTATTCTTTGTCTTTTTAATGCTTTATTTTTGTATATGAATTATAAAGAATATATTATAGTGAGACAGCAGTGCAAATATTTAACTTATAAACTAATACATGCAGAAATATTGGAGGCTATACTTATTTTTTTTTTATCTTTTGCTGACAATGGTGCATGATCAGAAATGTTTAGAGACAGCTGATCCAAAGGAAGCCCATCACTCAGCACATTGGGAGTATCCCTATGAAGGATTTAAGTGATTTTAAAGATGAAAGTCACCTAGCATGAGCAGGCAGGGATGAGCCACTTCTGCATGACTGGATCATCCACACCGATAAGCTCAGTAGACTACTGAACTAGTGACATGTGATAAGAAGTACAATTTACTCATAACTTTGTTATACAACAAAACACTAATATTTATAGTTGACCCATTATACACTTTAATTTTTAGGATAATAAAGAAAGAGAGAGAGGATTATATAATCAAGGGAAGAAAGCTCCCTCAGAATTCAATTTTAAAGTCAAAATTACAGCTTTTTAAAATGGAGTTTCTGGGAATTTGTTTTCCTTATTTTTTAAACAGAACTTACCTGTTATACCATTGGATTGCTGTTGCAGATTACAATACCAGAGTCTGTTAACTGGATCACATCCTTGTCTTATTGATAACAGGACATAGCGACCATCATCAGATAACTACAAGAAATGAGAAAGACTCAGAACACAATCTTTGATAGCTTACTACTATTATAAAATTCAAAAGTGAGTAAAGCCTGATGTCAAATACAATAACCTTCTGATACTTCAAACAGAATCTGAATCTCAGTTACATTTCAGTATTGTCACAAAAACTAGATATATGGCCAATTTTAATCGCATGCTACTTAAAACAATAACAACAATCCTCTGAATCCAACCAGATTTTTATTTATTCCTATCTCAAATAATGAAAGGCTTTTTTTTCCCAGCATAATGAATAGAAGACTAGCCTTGTAGGAAGGAAGAGCTGGGTTTAAATTCTCCTGTGACATATACTAACTCTTTAATTCGGGTAAAAATAACTTAACCTTGCAATATCCCAAGAAACTCTCTTAAAACTAGAAATTGCATTCATATCTATAGATGGAATTTCTATACCTATTCCCTACACTGATGAAATCACAAATCCAAACACTCCTCATCCTATGAATCTCCCACAAAAACACCCCATAACCGAAAATGCAATGAATGTCATTTTTTAAACTATGTTAGACAAAACATACTGCTGTACTAAAACATCAGTGAACGCTAAACAGAAAGCTGAATATCACACACTGAATCTCTGGGACATTTTTCATTTAAATTTCAGCTATTGACAACACATAAAATCTGCCCTTCTGACAAAATACATGCTTAATTAAATAAAATATCTGGGGGGAGTAGATTCTCATTCATTTTCTCTCATAAAATATGAGCATGGAAAGAGTGCTGGATTTCAAGTCAAGAGGGTCTGATTCTTTCTCATTTCTTGTATTTATCTGATGATGGTTGCTATGTCCTGTTGTCAAAAATCCCACATCATTGTCTTACTAGGAGAATGTCCCTAAGCAAGTCATTTAACCACTCTGGGACTCAGTCTCCTCATTTGGGATTCCAAGGTCCCCTTCCAGCTCATATCTATCACCCTAAGATCTTAAAACATCTGTGGTCCCTTCTACATCTAAACTATGATCCTATGAACTAAATAAAGGTCCAACCAATTTTTAGTCCTGCTGTAAGTCACCTCTATGAAGGAGTGTCAGAGGTAAAATTCAAACTTGGATCTTCCTGACTCCAACAACCCTTAAACTCATATTCTGCTGTTGATGGAAAGTCAGCCTTCAGAAATTTTTTTTTAAATTAAGAAAAAGAGAAAAAAAAACCACTTCTAGTGTCATGTTTTTAATCAAAAACATTCAACTATTCCAGATAGTCTCAAGGCCCTGGTATTAAAAGATTCTATTTTAAAGACACACTTAGTTCAGAACAATTTTTTTCTTTTCTTTTTCTCTGAAAATTATTGATAGATTTTTAAAAATGCTAGTTAGCAAGCCACGATGCCCAATTTCTTTCTTTGCTGAAAAATACATATTTGCAATTTTGTTATAATGAGAGGTGGTCACCAGTCATCTTTCCCAATTTTGTTTTTTGATAATTAAAATATGGGACAGAACTTGCATGAATTACTTTATGTTTTCCTTTTTTTTAAGGCACCTGGGGTTAAATGACTCGCCCAGGGTCACACAGCTAGTGTCAAGTGTTTGGTCTAAGGCTGGATTTGAACTCAGGTCCTCCTGACTTCAGGGCTGGTGCTCTACCCAGTGCGCCACCTAGCCACCCCCTACTTTATGGTTTTGATGTTCTATAACTCACTGGTGGTTATATCAAAGACAGACATGTTATCCAACTTCTGAAACTGTGGGCTACAAAAATACATCGCTTGACCAAGAACACTTGATGACAGCTATGTCAAGCACGTCTAGCGAGCTTTTCTCAGGACGCCTAAATGGCCAGTCCAAACACGTGATAACAGTTGATATTTAATCTGAGGCAAGAATTCCCAAGGCATATTCCGGAGGGATATCAATTAGGTTTGCCATAACCATCAGAGTTCTCCCATTCTTCACTCAGTCAAATGCCAAGACAAATAAACAAAATGTACTAACATGTAACCAGCACCTCACTCTGCACATACCAAAAGTCCCAGCTCAAAAACACTCCTGAAAGAATATAAAAATAAGCAGAGGATCTACAATGTCCATGATACTCCTGAGTGAGAACTTTCCATCCCCAGACTACCAAACCATTCTAAAACTCAGCAGCTAAGTCCTAAGGAGTTGCCTGAGGCACAAGTACACTTCCCAAGGTCACACAGCTAATAAATGCAAGAGGTAAATGTGAACTAGGTTATTCCACCACTAAGCCCTATAAGCTGTCCACTAAAAGTCAATCTCCTTCCTGAGAAAATGGATTCAAATATCCCACTTCTAAAGTTTGTTTCCTGTGTGATTTTGGCAAGTCATTTAACTGTCCTGAGACTCAATTTCCTCATGTGTAAAATAAGGAGTTTGGATTAAATGGCTTCCAAGGTAATTTTCAGGTGCAGGTCTATAATTCTATGCTACCAAAAAAAAAAAAAGGATATTCTTCTATTTTTATACAGAGAAATAACATCCATTTGTAAAATGAAGAAGACTTCAGAGATTCCCAAATTTATTTGATCTACTGCCCCTTTTTAAAAAAATTACTCAGCACTCTCCAAAATCTACAGTTTTTTTAACCCTTTAATGGTTTTCTTGAAATCTGTGTTATTTCAAATTAGTACCGCTTCCCCATCATTCCACAGGGGGCTATCTCACCTATTTGGGGAACTTCAAGAATACAGCCTCGAGGCCACATGTGGCCCTCTGTGTCCTCAAATGCAGCCCTCTGACTGAACTCAAACTTCACAGAACAGATCCCCTTAATAAAAGGATTTGTTCTGTAAAGCTTGGACTCAGTCAAAAGGCCGCACCCAAGAACATAAAAGGCCACATGTGGCCTTGACATTGCAGGTTCCCCATCCCTGGACTAGATAATCTTATAAGGTGCTTTCTAACTGCAACATTTTGAGCATCAGAGTTTATCTGGACCTTTATTTCTAAACTTTTTAAAGTTTTGATTGTAAACTCTGTGTATTCTTGCACATTAAAAACTAAATTCCAACACAAAATTTAAACCTTTACACATAGCCTGACCCTCAAGAAATTTCAAAACATTTCTGAAACATCAGAGGCAAGAAATATGGAGAACTAATAATAACAACACTTGCACTAAAGGCAGATTGCCAAACCATAGAAAAATTAGTGACTTAAGGAAACCAGGTAAGAAGTGAACAGAAAAAGCTTAAAATGTATATACAGGACTCAGCGGGATTCTTAGGATGCAGCATGACTTCCAATTTCATACTCAAACACAAAATGAAATTTTTACCCAAACTGAGATCAACTAAAATAACTAGTTTATTTAGGCAGTACCTATGATTCTTAGAAACATTAATCCAAGCCAAGGGTTGTACCAGGAATATAGTCTCTACCATAATAAAATGATCAATAACTTCCAAAAGCCAGAACTTTTTACTACTTCACATCTTTCATTTTAAATTTATTTCTTCCTAACGTAAAAAACGATAAGCAAAATCTATAATGTGTTTCTGAATGAGTATTTTAAAAAATCACCCAAATCAAATTCTAAATAAGTCCATCAAAATAAATGCATCTATTGATTCAGGAATTATCAATTTGCATTTTTGCTTGTAAAAACTATTTAATTCACTTGAATTCTGATATCACAGAATCTCCTTAATGAGTTCAATGTTTAAAAAGGATTTCCAGTTTGGATACACACACACACACACACACACACACACACACATATATATAGTCTTCACAAAATGCTTATTTTCACAATTCAGTATTTTGCTTCTGGTGTATATTACAGTTATGTTGTTTCTATTTCCTGATTAGATTAAAAGCTCTATAAGGCTCCTTGTCCAATTTTGTATCTCCTTCCATTCCTAGCACATTGTATGTGTTGGGTGAATACTGAATATAGGCAGTTTTGATCAAAATTTCATGATTAAAATTTTATGATGACAAAATAACATTTGTGAAATCTGAGGTTGGTGATGAAGTATGGCAACATTCTCAATTTCACAACCTGGAACAAAATGTACTGATTAGATGATTGACTGATTAAATACTAATTAGAAAAAGTCAATTACAGAGGTGCAAAAGCAGAACAGTCATTACATCTGCCCTGGTTAAATAACTATTGGAAATAGCAAAGAAGTATGCAAAGAGTACAGACAGGCATATACAAGCACTACTTGACAGTCATTGATATATACTGTTTGATACACTCATAAAAGATAAAGCAGAAGTGGATTATCAGGAAAAAAACCCAACAGGTCTTTAACATAAAAAAGTCACTGATAATTGAATAACAAAGAATCACAGAATTCCACAGATGAAAGGAACTTCACATGTCATCTAGTCCAACATATACCTAAATGAAAATGCACCCTATAACATCCCCAGTAAGTGGTCATTCAGCCTTTGTTCAAAAACCTCCTAGGGAAAGTAGTTTACAATCCTCCAAAGGCAGCACCTTCCATTTGTGGATAGCTCTAATTATTAGCAAACTTTCCCCTACGACAAGATTAATTTCTCTCTGTAACTTCTACCCACTGCTCCTTGTTCTGCTCTAGGGCTATTCCTCTTTCTCTTCTTAACCCTTCAAATACTTAGCTATCTCTTTACTGCCTAAATCTTTTCATGTCTAAGTCAACACCTCCAGTTTCTTTAATGAATCTTAGGACAGCATGATTCCAAGACCTAAGCAACCTGGTTGCTCATCCCTTTCCAGATCTGTTATATATTCTCTTAGGGTTATTCACATATAAAGAAGATACTTTGTTTAAGGAAAACCAAAAGATTCTGTCTCATATTCTTTATTCTAGTAATACTACAATATCTACAGTTCTTTTACAAAGAATCTTCTGCAATTTTATACTCAAATGCAAGAATTATCTTCATTTTACAAGTGGGAAACATAAAGCTAAGAGAGATTACATGTTGTCACAAGGACACCCAAATCTTTTGACCTCCTTCCACCCCACAGCAATGTTCAAGCATGCT